ACCTCAGTTGTGAGATCCAGGGGAAGAGAGGCGCAACAATTAATAATTAACCGGGTGTTAAAGAAAGAGAGAAAACAGAATTATTTGTACTGGCAAACTATTTATTTAAACGTAAATGAGTTCAATATTAACATAAAACAATTTCCTTTAAAAAAAAAAGGAAGTGGCAGCCATCCAAACTAAACAAACCAACCACTGGTCTAACAAATAAATATGAATAATGCTCTCGCTCCACTGAGGGAGTAATAAGACAATAGTACACATGTACACATGTACACACGCACAAACAACACACAGCTCTGCTTCACAACCGACGTCTTAGCTATCTGGCGGTTTGGCCTACTGGACTCGTCTGCTCCCGTCTTCCTCATTTTAAGGCAATCTGCATGATTGTTAAAACTACTGCAGGTGTGCCTGACCCGTCAGAGGGGAGGGCGGTACCTGGAACAGGAAGCAGGACAGAGCAGAGGCAAAACACACTATACACGTAACAACTGAACTATCAATAATCCTTAATTTAACGTCTTGGAAGTGTATATTCAGACACACAATGTAACAACCGTCTATAGTATGTCTAATGTAGCAGCAAGTGTATTTAAAAGCTGCAGCAGAACTGTTCTTTTAAACAGAACATAGACCTGGGTGATTTAACTGTAACACTATAATAAACTGCATAATAGTCTCATGATGCCAATGTAACTGAAACTGTGTTTAAACGTCAACAGCTTTTACAGATATATTAATTACTGGTGTAAAAATATATTTACAAGGAAACATGCCTAATTATAAGTCATTTATGTGTGCTGAAAGCAGAATTTTCCTGTTTATAAAATGTGTTACATTCATTACACCCATTATTTCTATCACTGTAAATGTAAATGTAAATGGCTGAAAAGACAATAAACCATTGAATTTGTATTTAAATGGTTACACGCAATAGCATTCAGTGGATTTAGGAGTAGTGATGTTGATGGACAGACATGTACTTTTGTACAAAGTAAAACATTTTGAAACACAAAATCCAAACAAAGTAACATTTTATTTAAAACAATAATTTAAAACAATATCAGGGAATTCCCAAAACCTAAAGAAAAATACACGTTTATTTAAAACTTTAATAATGAGAGTGATTGATCCATGAATGGCTTTAGTACAGTAAAACTCTCCCTGACCTGTAAATTTGTGTTCCTATTTTAACCTTTTTTATATGCCTTCAGTGACAGGCAGATAGAGTAATAATCCAGTGAACAGACAGTATTCTTGTTTACATCAGATAAACAAATTATTGGGCACAGTATTAATACATTTAACATTAAAAGTAAACTGTTCACAACAGGCAGTTTGAGACTGTCAACTTAATGTTTTTTAGTGTAATGTAAACCCTGCCTATAAACATCATTGTAAATCTTTAACCTGGCAAGTTCTGGTGCGTACCTTAAGGAGCAGAGTGAGGGCTTCTAAATGAACTGAGCTGCTGTGACTGGGCCCCAGAGGTAGTGTCAGCGAGGGACCATGTGAAGGATGTCAGTGGTTTAATATGATAATGGAAACTTATTGTCAGTGTGTCTGTTTCAGGCCAAACCGCTGTTAACTGAATCGTGTGGTCGATGACCACAGTGAGCGTATTTAAAAGCAGCAGCGTTTTTAGACATGTGAACAGAGCAGGCAGAACATTGTGGTTTAACTGCTCCACTCTAATAAACTGCTCGCTCTTAAAAATAGACACTGAGGACGTGACCAAGCCGAAGACCCCAGATACAGACTGAAGAGGACGATGAACCACATGACCATTTTCAAATACTGCAAACAGCTTGACTACTTCAAATTGTTCCATCAATGAACAGTTCAGTTTGCACATAAAAACATTGAAGTAAAAGAAAAAAAATCCAAATCCATTTTTGTTTTAGTAATGCTTTACACTTGGCTCAGGTGGAAAAGTTGGTGAATTAATAAAAGCAAAATGTGCCAATTTTCTGAAAGTTTGCTACATTTACAGGTGAACTTGGCTTGTGATTATGAATGTTTACAGCCTTCATAATTGTACAGAAACTGCTGTTGATTATAGTATGTAAAAAGCTCTTCGCTCTGTCATTATGAATGTATAGTCTAAATGACGCAGTTAAATGTACAAGATCTGCAAACAGCTTACTTAATTTTCTGGTTTCTGTTCCTAAGGCAAGTACAAACATGTTTGCATTCAATGAGTGGGTCTGGTACTGAATAGAATAATCAATAAACTATGAACTTAAACATAAACTAAAAAGGATTATACGACATCAACAGAGCTTTATAGAAAATACAACAGTATTTATGACTTAGAATGAAGAATATTTGCTGAAATGTTCCTTAAAAGAAAAATCCACCCTGCACAGTATACTGACACACTTCACATTAATTCATTTTTTGTTTTATCCACCCCTCGGAGTCTGCCTTACATCTAAAAAAACAATTGGGTAGTTTTTTCATTTCCCACTATCCTCTGTAGGTGTAGACATGTCTCTGTGCTTCCTCTTCCCCAGTGGATGTATCCTCCTTTGGCTGCTTTAAAAAGAAGATCTCATTCTTTGGCCACAAGGAACTGACACTAAAACTCAACTGTAAGCGTTGACTTTGACGAGAAGTGAAACATTCCCTGCAATATGTGTCTAAGGAACACATTGTAGTGTGATTTTTACTTCATGATTTTACTTCATGATTATTATTGTTTGAAAAAAGTTACATAAAAGTCACATGAAAGACATTTATCTCATTAAGAGGAACAATAGTGGAGTGAGGTTATGTACTGTCACTGTTAAGTCTCACCACTGCACAAAAACACTGGTTAATACTTAATATCAGTGAATGCATGTGAATGTGAGTTACCTCACTAGCACACAACCAAACCTGGGTTTTTCAA